CAACAGTTCATTTAGTGACTGTTCAAAGTTACAACGACACTGAAAAAAAGGGACTTAACGGCCGTTTTTCACACTTACGGCCTTTGTAGCATCCCCATGATCACGTGACGAAACTTCGGATGCCTGGCAACTGGTTCATGGTTATGACGGTTGCCGTGTCCCTGGGTCATATGATCACCTTTTGCGACCTTCTGTCAAGCAAAGTCCATGGGGAAGCCAGATTCACTCAAGAACTGGGTGACTAATTTAATGCCTGCAGTGATTCACTTAACAACTGTGGCAAGAAAGGTCGTAAAACGGGGCAAAGATCACTTAGCAAACGTCTCACTTAATGACAGACATTTTGGGCTCAATTGTGGTTGTACGTCAAGGACTACCTATATTGGAACACTGCTATTATGTCTCCCCTAGTCCTTCTTTTCACTAAACTAGGCATACCCAGTTCCAGCAACCGTTCTTTATATGTTGTAGCCTCCAGCCTCACTAATCATCTTCCTTGCTCTTCTCTGCACCCTTTCTAGAGTCTCAACATTGTTTTTTATCTCAACCCATTCCATTGCTGTGTCAGGAAATGTCTCCTTATTTCTAAGTTGGATCTATCTTTGATAAGCTTCTGTCTGTTACTTCTTGTCCTGACCTCTGATGCTTTGGAGAACAGCTGTCTAATCTTTGGGGCAGCCCCTCAAATATTCAGCTATCTTCAGCAGAGAATTCTTCTGCTGGTTCCAGGCAGCCTGGTAACAGATGAGGAAGGGGTGAGCTTGATGACCCAAAGGGCCTTTTCTGACTCCATGATTCTAATTTGGTAAATAATTCACCCACCCACCCCCAAATCGCAGGAGACTGATCTGGTAGTCTCAACATTCCTTGATCTTGACCAAATTAAAGTTAATTCCAGAGTGGGTTGTCTTCTCTTAAACTTTTCCAAGAAGCCAGGTCCACTAATATAAAGTGCCTTGTCAAGGGCATAAAACAGTCATTAAGATGTTTTGTAGATTCGTGCTCATCTTGATAGAATAGAATAGAGCTGGAAGGAACCTTGGAGGTCTTCTAGTCCAGCCCTCTGCTTAAGCAGGAGAACCTATACCATCTCAGACAGGTGATTGTCCAGTCTCTTTTTAAAAACTTCCAGTGATGGAGCACCCATGATTTCTGGAGGCAAAGCTGTTCCACTGGTTGATGGTCCTCAGTGTCAGGAAGTTTCTCCTTAATTCCAGGTTGCTTCTCTCCTTGATCAGTTTCCAACCCTTATTTCTCATCCTTCCCTCTGGTGCTCTGGTGAACAACCTGACCCCCCTCTTCCTTGTGGCAGCCCCTCAGATACTGGAATGCTGCTATCATGTCTCCCCTGTTTCTTCTTTTCTTTAGTTTGATGCTGAAGATCAAAACCCTGCCATTCTCAGCCAAGGGGAAAAATGTCCTAGAAAACTATGTAGCATTGGTCTTTTGAAGAAACCAGTGGAATTGCTTCCTTAAGAACCTGCTAGCTCGCTAAGACTCAAGACGTTGCCAAACAGCTAAAAGCTGGTTTGGACAGACAAGGTAAAGAAGAAGAGCAGTCAATCACTCTAAAAAGGCTCGCTGCACAGATGTCTATGTGCATTGGAAACCGGATGTTTCCACTTCCTCTTCAGACCCTTGACTTTTTAGACCAGCGCTTCTCAATCTTAGCAACGCCAAGATATGTGGATTTCAACTCCCAGAATTCCCCAGAACTGAAGAATTCTGAGTGTTGTAGTCCAGGGCTTTTCAACCTTTTCACCCATTGCACCACTTTTAGGATATGGCAATATCCGAGTACCACCAGTCGCCTAGCAAGGTGTCAAAAACTTGATGACCAAAAAACAAAAAAAAGAAGGAAAAAAGTGATCAAGTACAGGTAGTCCTCGACTTACAACAGTTCGCTTAGTGGCTGTTCAAAGTTACAATGGCACTGAAAAAAGTGCCTCCCAAGCCACAGCCGAGCAAGACACCTGCCTGCCCACCCGGCCGCGCTCTTCCTCCTGTCGGAGGTTTTCATTGTTGTGAGCATTTCTGTTGAGGATTGGCAGCGGGGGTGGGGTGGGGGTGTTTGGATTTTATTCCCCCGTCTGCTGGGTGGTTGCAGCAGGTTTTGGTCACTTCACATGACCCTGGGACACTGTGACCGTCATAAAGATGAATCAGTTGCCAAGCATCTGAATGTAAATCACAAGACCCTGGAGATGCTGCAACATTCCAGCTGATCGGCGCTTCTTCTGGGCCCAGTTGGAGCCTGGCACTGATCCTGGCGCTTCCGCTGAGCCCTGACAGCCCTGCAGCTCCAGCCATCTCTCGCTCAGGCTTGTGCGGTGCTGCCACCAGTTCAGCTCATTCCCCTCCCCCACTACCACTTTTCTAGGATGGTCGCCTACCACCTGCCAGGTGCCAATGTACCACTGGTTGAAAAGCCCTGTTGTAGTCCACACATCTTAAGACCTGCCAAGGTTGAGAAATGCTACTTCAGACATTCCAGAGATAGAGATGAATGAATGTTAGGAATCTGGAAATTGACTTTCAGTCAAGTCAGGTAACCAGGATGGCATGCGGTCTGCATCTCGCTTTGTGTTTTTCCCTGCCTTGCAAAATTTACACTCTACCTAAGCCAGGGCTTGACCTTCAGTGGAATTCTACATGGGCCTTTACTACAAGTCCCTGGCCGCCTAAGGAAATATGAAGAGGGATCCTAGAGTTCGTAATTTGCACGTGAGCTTATTTTTCAGCATGTCCTCCCTACCCCCGAAAGAAAAATAAATGACATTTGTAAGATGCAAGGAACTGAAAATAAGGAATTTATCCTAGTGGGGCAAAGTTAGAGCACGTCGTTTTAATGCGTCTTTTGATCCAAGAAAATTAGCATACCTCCAATTATTTCAGTGGACCCTGTTGCTAAATTTAAATCATAGAATCCACGGGCTAGAAGGGAACCTTGGAGGTCTTCTAGTCCAAACCCCTGCTCAAGACGGGAGCCTTATGCCGTCCCAGTCAAATGGTGGTCCAGTCTATTTTTGAAAACTCCAATTATGGAGTACCCACGACTTCTGGAGGTAAGTCATTTCATTTATTAAATCTTCTCTCTATCAGGAAATTCCGCCTTAGTTCTAGATTGGTTCTCTCTTTAGTGATCTTTCTTCCATTGCTTCTTGTCCTGCCCTCAGGTGCTTTGGAGAATAGGTTGACACCCCCCATTTCTCTGTGACAGCCCCTCAAGAATTGGAAGACTGCTACCATGTCACCCTTAGTCCTTTTCTCCACTAGGCTAGACATACCTAGTTCCCTCAACCGTTCATCCTACAATTTAGCCTCCAGACCCTTTATCATCCCAAAGATGCTTTTTCCAAAAGGCAACTGGATTTTCTTTGTTTTTTCTTTGGAAACATCTCACTTCTCAAACAAGAAGCTTCAGTTCTGACTGACTGGTGGGGAATGGAAGGATTTGTATTCTTTGCAGTCATCTGGCTGTTAACACTCATAGGGTTGGATGTTAGCTTTGAGAAAGCTAACCAGTCAGTTAGAACTGAAGAAGCTTCTTGGACGAGAAGTGAAACATTTTCAAAGTCCAGTTTGCCTTTTGGAAAAAGCACCTTTGGGAGCACCGTAGCCTGGATGATTGATTGAGAATCTCCATAGACATCGACCCTTTCTCATCTCTGCTCCTCTTCCCTCCACAAATCGCGAGACCCTTTTGACATGCAGCTTCCCATCCCTCCAAACCACAAGCCGACATCAGATCAACAGAATTTAATCTAGTTTATTCTCCAAAAAAAAAAAAAAGAGGAAAAATATGAAAACGAAAAACCAAAGCGCAGTTCTTAAACACTAGCAGCAAGTAAAATTTGTACAACCATTCAAATCTGCAGTTGTAGGATGAAATAAATCTACACCTTGTCTTATCTGAGAGCTTTTTTTGAGTTATACATACAAACGACAATTACAAGAACTGGTTCACAATGCGAATAGGCCCTAGACAAACCGGCTTGCGACAAACAAGCTGTATGTCAACACCAAAGTGTCCCTGTTACCCTTCAACCCCTTCTCCATTGATCAGAGGCCTGTGGCCTAGAATGGATGACTTGCTTACAGCTTGGATGTAATTTATTTTTAATCCATCAAAATAATTTCAGCCAGCATGTGAGGAGAGAAAGACAAGAGAGAGAGAGAAAGAGAGAGAGCGAAACAGCAAAAAAGCATAACTGGCAATTTGTCCATTTGCCAGTTTGACCTCATTCTTCGCAGACCGTACCATAAAATGTTTCTGGTGATACCCGATTTGTACTATTTGTACTTTTCTTTTTTGCTTTTTTTTCTCCCTCCCCCCCCCTTTTTTTTGTTTTTTGTTTTTTTTTTTACAGCTACCCGGTTGTCAGTCTTCCTCCAAAAATGTACAATATTTCTTACAATATAAGTTATACAGTGTTCAGCAATTATTTGCTTTAATTTCAGTGAGAGGGAGAAAGGAAAGGGAGGGAAGGAAGGAGGGAGGGAGGGAGGGTGAGTGGCGTGGGTTGTTTGTTTGTTTTTTTTAATTATTTATTAATATTATAATTATTATTATTTCACAGCACTAAAAACCCAGTTCGACAGTGAAGTTGCGTGGCGATGGTTTATTCACAAATGGCCTCCCGATTCGGTGGTGGAGAAACACAAAAGGCTTTTGAGCCGAGCAGTCAAGCAGTCAACTTTCCGTATCAATCTTTGCTTTGTTTCTTTCCGTTGTGAGGATTTTCAGCCAGTTTTACCATTTACATCTTTCTTTATATTTTATTTATTTTTCCCCGTCGGTCCCGTTTTAGCATCTGCATCCAACAGTTTTTTGAAGGGCCAGGAAGGCTTCCCTCCAAAGAGGCAAATATATAAAGATACTTCTCGTTCATAGAAGTAAAAAAAACAAAAAACGAACTTGGTTTCTTCTGTCTTTTTTTCTTTCTTTTTTCCACCTTTTTCTTTTAAGCAGGAAAATCTCTCTTTTTCCCCCCCCCCTCCCCCTGTCTGAGAGGCCTTCTTTAGCCCATGGCGGTCACCATACTTGAGGGGTGGTGAGGTCCGAAAGACAAGCCAGAAGAAGGGTGCATCGGAGTTGGTGTGGTCAGCATGTGGCCTGAATGGCTGAAGGGAGAAATATGACTGATGGACGACATGTGTCTGGAAAGGGCGGCGGGATTGAAGGAGGTGCTTTTGGGGAAATCATCCAGGCTGTCGTGAATCTTTTTGCTCTTTTTTGACTTGCTAGACATCTTCCGGTTTCGGGTCTGGATGCCTTCCTTCTTCATGGTCAGGGGTCTGTTAATCTAAACAAAAAATCAATTAACTTTTTTTGCGAGCTGGTCCTGTCTCCGGCTTGGCCCAAAAAATCTCTCCCTCACACACGCAAACACGCACAACGACAAAGATCTAGAGCAGTGTTTCTCCGCCTCAACCACTTTTAAGGGGTGAGTGGACAGCGGTTCCCAGAATTCCTTGGCTGGCTGGGGAATTCTGGGAGTTGGAAGTCCACACGTCTTAAAATGGCGGACGATGAGAGACGCTATTCGGGAAAAAGATGGCGAACTTTTTAAAAAATGGCCAGGAACATTCCTTTAAGTACAGGTAGTCCTCGACTTATTACAGTTTGTTTAGTGACCATTCAGGCTTATGACGGCACTGAGAAAAATGACTTATGACCAGTTTTCACCCTTACGACCTTATAAAATGGTCACGTGATCAAAATTCAGACCCTTGGCAACTGACTCATATATATGACGGTCGCAGCATCTCGGAGTATTGTGATCCTTATTTGTGACCTTCTGACAAGAAAAATCAATGGGGGAGCCAGATTCGCTTAACAACCACGTTACTCACTTAACAACTGCAGTGATTCACTTAACAACCCTGGCAAGAACCGTCGTAAAATGGGACAAAATTCACGTGACAAATGCCTCGCTTAGCAACAAACATTTGGGGCTCAGTTGTGGTCATTAAGTCGAGGACTACCTGTATATAAATTAATTAATATATATAAAAATGTATATAAACAGTCCTTGAGCTACAAGCATTCATTTAGCAACCATTCAAAGTTACAACGGCACTGAAAATAGTGACTCAGGACCAATCCTTACATTTATTACCATTGCGACATCCCCAGAGTCACGTGATCAAAATTTGAATGCTTGGCAACTGGCATGTACTTAAGACAGCTGCAGCATTCCAAGGTCATGTGATCACCATTTGCAACCTTCTCAGCCAGCTTCCGGCAAGCCAAATCAACTGAGTTCACTTAGTAAACTACATGATTCCCATCACAGCAGTGATTCACTTAACAACTGTGGCAAGAAAGGTCATAAAATGGGGCAAAACTATCTGGCTTAGCAGTGGAAGATTTGAGGGCTACCTGTATTCCCACATTCCGTTAAGAATATTGTTTGAAGTCAGATTCACTTAATGACTACATAGTTAGTCATTGCTCTGCTTTCTGATCAGAGGGGCTTTGTTTTTAGATGGTCAGTGATGATGGGAACTGTAGTCCAGCTCCATAACAGAATAACAGAGATGGGAGGGACCTTGGAGGTCTTCTAGAGCAGCCCCCTGCTCAAGCAGGAGGCCCTATACCAGGGGTCTTCAAACTTGGCCCTTTTATGACTTGTGGACTTCAACTCCCAGAATTCCTCAGCCAGCCTCCATTTTTTTTTAGATTTAAGACAGGGGTCTTCAAACTTGGCCCTTTTATGACTTGTGGACTTCAATTCCCAGAATTCCTCAGCCAGGCACACTGGCTGAGGAATTCTGGGAGTTGAAGTCCACAGGTCTTAATGTTGACAAGATTGGACATCCCTGATGTAACACAACGATATTATCTCGGAGAATCAGCTGAGAATATGACCATCTCACTTACATTGTGGAGCTTGAAATATAGCCCACAGGCATTACACACTGGATCCCCGTTGGCATTCCTCCTCCAAAGAGTGGTTGTTGTTGTCTGGCAATTTGCACACGATGTCCCAGCCCGTCTTGCAGCTGACTGGGGGAGAAGAGAGAAAGCATAGTCACCTCACCAATAGATTAACGTGGGGGGCGGGTTTCAAGATCCTAAACCAGTGTTTCTCATCCTTGACAACTTTAAGACGGTGGACTTCAGCTCCCAGAATTCCCCAGCCAGCTCCCAGAATTCAACAGCTGGCTGGGGAATTCTGGGACTTGAAGTCCACCCATCTTCAGGTTGCCAAGGTTGCGGAATCCTGCCCTAAACCCTTGCTGTGCATCCCAGGGAAGCAAATCCAGCCCATTGCAATAAATCATGCATCAATTCATACAATTCTTCAGAGGTTAGAAGATCCAAGTGGAATTGTGTAGTCACACCACGGTTTTATCTGGGTAGGATTGCATCTTTCCCCAGCAACCATGCCTGTGTGTGACAACATCAGATCAAAGATGCTGATGGTGAAACACACGAGATTTTAATCATCAAGAATCCCACTGATTCGTTCGAAGTTGCAAAAGTCCTCATCGGTAACAACAGAAGCCACCCAAAAATAATATTTATTTGATGCTCAGCGTTGCTGTTTCTCTTGGCAACTATCCAGAACCCAGTGAAATTGAAACTTCAAAGAACCGGGACAGAAATATTATTTTTACAGAACGCGCAATTAAACTTTAGTGTGCTATCATAAGATGTGCTGCTGGCTGGTTGGCTTCAACAAGGTTTGGACCAATCCGTGAAAATATGAAGATCGACAACTATTAGTCTTGATAGCAATGGGACTGCCTCTGAAGACCATCTAGTCTTCAATTTACAACTGTCCATTTAGTGACCATACAAAATTACAACAGCGCTGAAAAAAGAGACTTAGGGCCATTTTTCACACTTACAACCGTTGCAGCATCCCCAGGGTCACCTGATCAATTCTGGACTCTTGGCCACTGGCTCATAGTATGATGGTGGCCGTGTCCAAGGGTCATGTGATCCCGTTTTGCGACCTTCCGAAAAGCAAAGTCAGTGGGGGAAGAAGCCAGGTTTACTTAACAACTGTGTTACTAATTTAACAACGGCAGTGATTCACTTAACAACTGTGGCAAGAAAGGTCGTAAAATGGGGCAAAATCCACTTAACAACTGTCTTGCTTAGCAACAGAAATTTTGGGCTCAGTTGTCGTCATAAACTGAGGACTGGCTATATGTTTCTGAAGCACGCAGTGGTGACCCACTTCTCTCCATCAAGGTAGCGTAACTATGGGGCTTCACTCAGTAGAAACATCCGTCTCTCTTTCTTGGAGCCACAACTTTTGATGGCCTTTTGAGAGCATGGTACTTGCTCACAAAATGGCCGCCTTCAGGGATGGCGTTTCCGATTCATAAAATGGCCGTCGAGAGGACGACGGCGAGAGCCAAGACCCCCGCTGAGCAGAAATTAACCAGCAGGCCTGCTCCACACAACTTTCTCAAGATCCTCCCTTAAAATTTCAGCTTAGCTTTGCCTTCCTTCTCCTGGTGGGACGGGCAAACATCCAAGCCAACGAGACCCCTGGTTCATTATTTCTTTAAAAAGCCTGCGGGGGGCTCAAAACATTCTTTTCTACAAGGGATTGAGATTGGCACTTTGATTTCGAGCTTGCCCAGTTTCCACCGTAACGTGGTTTTTTTTATATATATAAATTAAAAAATGGGAAACGGATGGACCAGGGAGGTGACGGATGCCAAGGAAAGCGTCCTTGGAGATTTGGATCCACACAAGGGGTATGGATGATGTGGGCAGTTAGAAGCATTATCCGTCCACCCACCTACATCTCCTTCAATCTATTTTGCTTCTCTGATGGGCAATCTGCCCTTCATCCCACAACGAGGCCTGAACCACACATCTCCTAAGACGGAGTTAATTAAGGATGCTAGGCATCCAAAATTGTTCTCCTTGACATTCCTCTCCCTATTCATCTGAGGCTGGAGTCATATGCTCTGCAGACAGCATGTAAACAATGGCTCAGCCATCATCCACCCCAAAAAGATCAACCGATCTTATTCAGTTAAGTTCTTCTTGCAGCTCTCCATGACTAATGAAGCTCAGCAGCGGCTAACACACTTAGTCAAGCCATATGCATCAGCTTTATCCCATACAAAACACTTATGAAAAAGCTTCTTCCCGGGAAACATTAAGAAGCTTTCCGTAGTTGTGTTTTTTTTAACTAGCACAGTCAGGAATGGATGTGGTACGCCCTATCTGTAAAACAATGTCGGTGCTCAACAATTGAGTTCTGTTCTTCTGACCGAACAGAGAGTCTAAACATCGGGATCAGATTAAGGAGGAGGATGCTTTGAAACACATTATTTCTTAGATTGGTAAGAGGGGAAACAGAATACTGTAGAGTTATGTATTTCTCCGAGTTCTCTTTGACTAAAAATGCTGCAAACATCCCCCCCAAAAAATAAAATATTACTACTACTACTACTACTACTACTACTACTACTACTACTAATAATAATAATAATAATAATAATAATAATAATAATAATAATAATAATAATAATAATAAAAAGTTGGAAGGGACCTTGGAGGTCATCTAGTCCAACCCCCTGCTCAGGCAGGAAACCCTACACCATTTCAGACAAATGGCTGTCCAGTCTCTTCTTAGAAACTTCCAGTGTTGGAGCATTGAGTTTCTGGAGAATCTTTTGTGATTTGCAAACTTTCCAAGATCTGTACAGGCTAGTCCTTGACTTACAACAGTTTGTTTAATGGTGGTTCAATGTTACAAAAACACTAAAAAAAAGTGACTTATGACCATTTTTCACACTAATGACCACTGCGACATTCCCGATTGTCACGGGATCAAAATTCAGCCATTTGGAAATTGACTCATATTTATGACACAAATCTGGGGCTCAACTGTGGTGGGAAGTCAAGGATTACCTGTATTTGTGATTTCCCAAGGCACTGCCCAAATAATATTAAAACCTAGCTTTGTGACTTTATGGACTAAGAAATATGTTGTTGTTTTCCCAATAAAATCTGAACATTTAAAAGCACTACCACAAAATATCCGCAGCTTTGCGGAAATAGTCAGATAACATAAAAAGAAAACCTACAGGGTCTACTTTAAAAAAAAAAAAATTTTTAAATTACTTCCAGGGAATAGCACAGTCAAACTATGCCTGAGCTTTAAAACCAGGTTTAATTTTCTTGCTGACAGCAGTGGAATCTTAACAGGTTTCACTTTGACTAAATTGAGTCTGCGGTGCCTTTTAAAATGACGGTTGTGTCAGTTTACAGTTGATTCATACAGTACGTTGTTTTATTTTTGTCAGTGAATCATGCCGTATCTTGGAATTCTCAAATATTGGCATCTATTCCCCCACCACAGCTAGTCTTCAACTTATGATTAATTGATTAATTGATTAATTGATGCACTTGATAAAAGGCCTGATCTGGACAGAAACCCAGAGAATTGTCAAGCCTTGCTCAAGACATCAGTTAGAATTACAAGGAGTTTATTTCTTTACAGGTAGACTTACAACCATCCATTTAAGAACTATTATTATTATTATTATTATTATTATTATTATTATTATTATTATTACTACTACTATTATTATAATGGATCATCGCACAGTCAGCCAGATGTTCAGACTGGATTTGGCATTTTGTCTACCTATCGAGTCCTTCCCAAGGACCTGGGATAGGCAGATGTGGATGTTTGATGGTATTACAGATATCGTCGCAGGATGAAAGCAGTTCCTAGTAAGGCCGCCTTTTGCAATTGACTAATGGCGAATTTTTCAATGCCAATGGTGTTCAAGTGGTGCTCAAGTTGTTTTGGGATTGCACCCAAGGCGCCTATTACTATTGGTACTACCCTTGCATGCTTTTGCCACAGTCTTTCTATTTCTATTTGTAGATCTTTGTATTTTGTTATCTTCTCCAGTTCTTTCTCGTCTATTCTGCTGTCTCCAGGCACTGCCACATCCACTATCCAGACTTTTTTGTCTTTTTTATCGACAATTGTTAAGTCCGGGGTGTAATGTTGCAGGTGCTTGTCTGTTTGAATTCTGAAGTCCCAGAGCAGTTTAATTTTATCATTTTCTGTGACTTTCTCTATTTTATGATCCCACCAGTTCTTGCTTACAGGCAAATGATATTTCTTGCAGATCTTCCAATGCACCATTGTTGCTACTTTGTCATGCTGATTATTATTATTATTATTATTATTATTATTATTATTATTATTATTATTATTATTATTATTAATGTTACCTAGCTGGGTCCTGAAATGTCTGCAAGAAAACAACGAGGGAGCACCAAGGACTCCTCATTTCAACCCTGACTATAAATATTCTCCTTTCTTCAGGTTTTATCGTTCCCAAACCACTAAAAAAACCTACGTCGCACAACACTTGGGGAATCCGAGAAGGGTAAACCACTAAGACGTCAAACTCAGATCCAGAAAACAAGCATCTAACGAAACTATATTCGTAGAAGAGAGAGTTTTTAAAAAGCCCCTGGAATCAGGAAGGAAAATTTTTAATTCTCAAGGAATCCAGTGCTTTGGGGGCGGGGGGGAATTTAGCAAGAGTTCAGTGGAAGCCACCAGGCCAGATTTATTTGTGCCGCGGAAGACTTAAGAATTACTCTTATGTTTTTGGCTGCCCAACCAATGGGTTCATCCCCAACGATGGCTCTTGCAGAGAAGTTAGAGCAGGGGCCTTCAAACTTGGCCCTTGGACTTCAACTCCCAGAACTCCTCAGCCAGCGTTCTTGGGTGAAGAATTCTGGGAGTTGAAGTCCACAAGTCACAAAAGGGCCAAGTTTGAAGACCCCTGAGTTAGAACTACCCCTCAACAAAAGAAAATATGGAAGTTGTAGTTTCAGCGAATCTTGAGTCACGGATGATCAGGCAACCAGTTTGGTGGCCCAGCCGTGACAACTGCGTGTCTTCCATTCCCTTTTCAGCTCTATTTTCATCCTAGGCATGCAGTCATCTATAAATCAGCACATGCACCCTGTAGAAACATCTGTCTTCTTTTGCACTTGGG